ATGTACGTGTGTGTATTTTTTGTATGTATCTTTTGTATGTATGTGTGTATGTATGTGTGTATGTGTGCATGTATATATGTATGTGTTTGTGCATGTATGTGTGTGTGTATATGTATGCATGTTTGTGTGTGTGTGTGTTCATGTACGAATCATTAATAAATGCTGTCTATTAGTAGATGGATGTACAAATTGAAATTTGAAATGCTCATTAAAATGTTTTTCAATTGCATGTACGTAGTCGTTCGTCTTTTGTCTCGAGCAATTTAAATATAAATTCATCCATCTATCCATCTATCTATTTATTCTTTTACTCATTCTTTCAGTCATTCAGTCATTTTTTTATTCATTTTTTAACTTTGATCTCTCGTTTTTTCATACATTTTTTATTTAAAACTTATTAACACATTAACTTTTTCATTCATTCATTCATCCATGTTCCAATCAATCGATCCATCCGTCCGTCCATCATCCATCCATCCAATAAAAAACTTCGATACACATCCACTCTCTCTCCTTCTCTTTCTCTCTCTCTCTTTCTTTTTCTCTCTCTCTCTCTTTCTCTCTCTCTCTTTCTCTCTCTCTCTTTCTCTCTCTCTCTTTCTCTCTCTCTCTCCTCCAGACATATCATTTAATTTATGACCTGCTCTCAATCACAACAATGCACAGTCTGGAAAATATAAATAAAAAAATATTTTGATAGGCAATAAATCAGCTTTTATATTTTTCGTTTGTGTGTACGTGTGTGTGTGTGTACGTGTGTGTGTGTGTGCGAGAGAGAGAGAGAGAGAGAGAGAGAGAGTGTGTGTGTGTGGGTGTGTGTGGTTGTGAAATTTATCCAACAAGTTGCAGTTTGGAAGAAAAGGCATTTTTGGGGTCCCACCTGTCGAATAAATGATAGATATAATGCAACAGTTTGTGCATAACAAACACACACACACAATCGCGCGCACACGCACACACACCGCACACACACACACACAAGCACACACATAAACCACATAAACGTAGAAACAAACATCTACTCATGTGATTGAAAAGTTGATCAAAAAATACTTAAAAACCACAAAAGTATGCTAGCTCAGTGTGACACATTAATTGAGTGTTGATTGTCATCAACAACAACATCAAAAAACATAACAACAAAAACAATAATAGCAACATCAAAAACAACAACTACATCAACAACAAGACAACAACATTATCAATAACAACAGTAGCAACAAAACAACAAAAAACAACGGCAGCAGCAGCAGCAACAACAATATCAACAATATCAACAGCAACAACAGCAACAACAGCAACAACATTAACAGCAACAGCAACAACATCTTCAAAAAAAATTTAGAAATTTTAAACAGTATAAAAAAATTTTAGTAAAATTTTTTATGTCACACAAACCTGTGCTGAGGTAATTTTTTAGTATTGTGAAGAGTTTCATTTTTATTTATCTTTCTTTTTTCTCCAACTTTTTCTTTCCTTTCTCTTTCTCTCTCTTTCTCTCTCTCTTATTGGTTAATTGATTGTTTGATTGGTTAGTTAAATGATTGATTGATTAGTTTGTCAGTTGATTTGATTCGGCTGTATGATTAATTGGTGCATTTGTTGGTTGACTGGTTGACTGATAGTACAGTATCAACAGTATCTCATTGAACAAAGTAGTATCATACAATGAATAAAGATACGTTTTTCAAAAATTTTTAAAGTTCTCAGTTTGATTTATTGCGATACCGATGATGATGATTGTGACCTGACTAATTAAAAAACATCCAATAAAACTTTTAAAATAAGATGGGCGGTAATTGGTTGCGAAATCATTGGGGGGAAATGACGTCATGTTAACAGTGGTTATTTAACTGCCTGCTAGTAAATTAGCCGGTATAAAGGTTATATTCAATTCCTATCAAATAAATTTGACCAAATATCATACGCAGGCAAAACTAAATAAAGAAATAGATAAATAGATATATGTAGTTATGATACATTTATAATGCTATATTTACACATTCAACTTGTAAATATTATACTAAATATTAAATTATTAGTAAATATTAAATATTTAAAAATTTTAAATATTTTTTAAACTCGCTCGCGTTATTTCTTTGATATCGATATTGGGGATATTCGTATATAAAGCGAGCAAAATTTTAATATAAAAGCGCTATAAATCTACGCATATTGGCTCAGCTCGGCTCGGCTTGGAATTGGATGCTAAGCAAGGTGTGGTCTCAAACTGTGTACTGATTACTGTTGCTTTTATAATGAATTTATATATAATATATAAATATATATATACATATATAAAGTAACTAGAATCCATATATACAAATAATTAATAAGATTATATGTTTAAATAAAAAGCAATGTAGCAGATTCAACCAGCTAACCAGAGAGTTTCGAAAGCGTTCGTTCATTGACGTCAATTTAGTACGGTTAGCATTGTGGTTAAGACTGTATAATAGTGTAGTACATACATTAAATAA